TAAAGCTTCTATTACATGCTTACTTGAAGTATCTGGAACTGCATTTATGTAAACAAACTTTGTGAAAGCATCAATGGTCACTAGTAGGTATTTATTTCCACTCTTCGTTTCCACAAAAGGTCCTAAATGATCTAAATGAAGTGTATGATTTGGTCGTGCATATTTTGGAATGGAATGTAAATATCCTAGTTTTTTACCACCATGGTGTTTATGATACAGACAGTTGATGCAAGCGGCTATATATTTTTTAACAAATCTTCGCATTTTAGGAAACCAATACCTGTCCTTTATACGTTCGAGTGTCTTATCTAATGCGAAATGTCCGATTTCATCATGATTATTGTTCACGATCTGCCGACGACAATCTTTTGGAACATACCATTTTCTACCATAATTCGTCAGTTTGTAAACTTTGTTGCCTCTTAGATCGAACTTTTTGAAAATATGCTTTTGATTTTCAATATCCCCAGATAAAAGGATGTCTTTAATTGTTTTAATGTCTTTATCTGTATCTTGAGCTTCACGTAGATAATCTTCTTCAGAAAATAAAGCTACATTTTGAATTTCAAGTAAATTTTCCTGACTATTTGCATCAAAATTTCTGCTGAGTGCATCAACGTGTTGAAGTTGATTTCCAGACTTAGGTTTAATTTCAAATGTAAAATCTTGTAAATATAAAACCCATCTTGCAATTCTGGGAACTATACTTTGTTTGTTTAAAACATTTTTAACAGAGTTGCAATCGGTTATCACTATAAATTCAATGCCCCGTAGATAATATTTGTATCTATCTAGTGTCTTCACGATGGCTAATAGTTCTAGCTCGAATGAATGATATTTTTTTTCCTCTCTTGTTGTTTGTTGACTAAAATATGCTATTGGTTTTTCCAGATTTCCATCCATTTGAGTCACTATTCCTGCAAATCCTTCTCTACTAGCATCTGTATAAACAATTGTTCTGTCATCCTTATTGAAAATTTTTAAAACTGGTTCTGAAAATATCAAATTTTTCATTTATTCAATTATTTTTGTTTCCTCTGATGTCCATTTCCAAGAGTTTTCTTTTTTTAACAATTTTGTCAATTTTGCAGTGCGTCTGGCAAAATTTGGAATAAATTTTCTGAAAAACCCAATGAGTCCAAGAAATTGACGAAGTTGATGCTGATTTTTGGGAATATTAAATTTTTTTACTGATTCAATTTCATATCTGCTAGGTGAAATTTGATTAAAAGAAAGTTCATAACCCAAATAAGTAATACTGGTCATTAAAAATATTGATTTTGAAACTTTGACAGTAAGGCCATGTGTGTGAAGCAGTTCTAAAACTTTATCCAGCAGTATCAACCTTTCATCAATGGTTTCTGATGGTATCAGAATGTCATTCAAATATGGAATAATATTATATTTCCTAACTGGCAAAAGTATTTCACTCATCATTTCCTGAAATACTGCTGGAGCATTACACAATCCAAATGGACAACGGAGATACTCAAAATGGCCTTCAGATGTAGCAAATGCTGTATATTGAACAGAATTTTCCTCTATAGGTATCTGATGATAGCCTGCAGCTAAATCTAACAAGGTAAAATATGTACAATTTGGAAGACTATCAATTATTTCCTCTATGATTGGCAATATTGACGGCTGCTTTTTTGTGATTTTATTAACTTGCCGAAAATCAATAACCAAACGTTTTGTTCCATCCTTTTTATCAATTAAAAATGAGGGACTAGCATATGCAGAGCTACTTTTTCGGATAATATTAGCCTCTAGAAGTTCGTTTATTAAATTCCTTAAAATTGCCTTGTCTGCCTCGGGTACTCTATAAGGTCTATGTTTTACAACAACATTACTTGTTATCCTCATATTAATTGTATGCGTAGTTTTCATGTTTTTCAAGGACATAATCACAACAATTGACGTGTCTCGTAATACCTGGTGTGCGCGCGCAACTCGTGGCTTGCAGGTGAGCGTCCAATGAGAATCGAGTTTGTTACGGGCTTGCGTCATATTCGTATTCAAGGACGAGTTCAGAATTAATCGTTCCTTCTTTCTTTGTAACGTGTAATTCGACAAAGAGTGAACTAATACTTTACGTATTACTTGAACTTACCGCAGAGTCGTTTAAGGTTATGTTAGATTATACTTGACATATTTCTTTGAAATTTCATTGTGCGATGTTGCCGGATGAAACATTTATCAATATAGAAGTTCAAGCGATGTTAACATACACTTTAAAGCTCTTCTTTTGTCTGATTTGAGGCGTTGTAAAACACTTCACAATATATCACTTCTTCAATGTAATAATGTTCGATTTTTATTGTCTACGTTTGTTCTGCAACAATACAATCTGGCTTCACTGCAGCCACGAGTTGCGCGCGCATGTCATTTTTTATTACTTTCTCACTTGTATTTATTACAATTAAGATCTCTTTTTCTATCTATGCGAGACACGTCAATTATTGAAAGGAAAAACAGTAAGATTATGGCTTATGGTGTAAGTCAATGGGGCTGAATTTAAACTCAGTGAGAACCACACTGGTAACATTTGCAAGAACAAAAGTCCCAAACCTGTGAAACATTAGCCTCAACAGAAGCAAACATAAATGAAAATATGAAGTAGAATTTCAAGGAATAGCCCCAGATTTTAAACTTCTCTGGAACCGATTCGTAGAAAACACCAAAAACATAGAAATCTCGACAGTCATGGTCTGCAAATACATTCCGGCTAAAACGTGGGTCATAACCAACTAATCTTGCAATAGATGCAAGAAAGTGAAATTTATTATTAGTTACTGACGTAGTGGTATCCTGGCATAGCCGAACCCAGCTAGTAATATCAAGAAAACCCTTAGGAAAAGGTCAAAGATTTGTGTGTCTGTATAACAGGAGGACTGAGATCATGTCCAATTGCGACACTAGAAGACATCCCAGACCTCATATTACTCTATTATAGCGAGTCGGGTTGCCAGTGGATCGTATCTTAGACTGGCAACGATAGTTTTTCAAGGGAAAACGCTCTTTGGCAGAACTTTTCATCTCGCAAACTGTGCGCACCCTTTGGTTCTACCAAAAGATCCGATTGTTAAGAAATTCAGCTTCGATAAAAACTTTTCCTTCGACATTATCACGAAAAACAAATCGAAAATGGAATTTATCTAGTCCTTGAAAGCAAACATCATCAAATTTTATACAGACTGCTGAGGAAATTAGAACAGGAGTCAATGGACGAATCTCCAAGCATCTTTCAAGCAGAAATGCATGCAATTGGAAGAGAAGAAAGGATATTGGAAACGATACCTACATCAATGTCTGACAGCCAAGCAGCTATCAACGGATTGAATTCCTCGGTGTTCAATTGTAAAACAGTATGGGAATATCTACAGAAACTCAATGAGTTGGGTAAGGAGAATAATGTAACCCTCATCTGGGTGCCTGGGCATGTAAGGGGTAGCGGGGGCTTCTACCACCTTCACTGGCCGAGAATCATTTTACGGCCTCGGAAATGCGCACTTCCAAGGAACCCTCAAAAGCGAAAAGAATTGGTTAGGGAACAAACAATGATAGAACGGCCAGGACTACGACAAGCAAGGCAACTTTAAACAAAAAAGATCAGAACTGCTAGTCAATTTTAGCATGAAAAATCTCAAAACAAAATTTGGGTTTGGAAAAAAGCGATATCTGTAGATTCTGTGAAAATGGAGAGGAGATATCTCACCACCACTGAACTGCGATGCCATTAGTCGTGTAAGGCTAAAGAATCTGTGGCATCTCCGTATACAGTTAGAAGACATTCCATCTCTGGAACCACTGAATATCGTAGTATTCCTAAAGGACCAGAGAGGCTGTTTTGAGAAGGACACCTGAAGCTAACTTCAGGTGTCCTTCTCAAAACAGCCCCTCTGGTCCTTTAGGAATACTACGAAGCAGCAGAAGGAGGGGTAGGTACAGTAGATCAAACTAGATTGCAATGCACTGTCACCTCCAACACTAACATTGCACTACATTACAAGTACCTATATAGGAAGGGTGGATGAAGCAAATACAATATTTATACTAAATTAAACAGACATCGTCAATAAAACACGAGTAAAATAGTCAGTCACTGAGTTTTTAGTCTTAGATTGAATATAAATGATGTCAACTTATCAATATATCCTTTGGTCTAACAAATTGATTTTGAAATCAAGTATTAAATAAGTGAAAGCTACTTTTCTTTAAAAACACCTCTTTGGTATTTAATAAAAAAGATAAACTTGACATGTACATAGGCATAGGTCCTTGAAATTTCAAATGGCCTAAACTAAAAAATAAGAAGTTATAGCAGATACAAGATACATCCGCCATGCAACGAACAGCACATGCCTTTCTCGGTATAAGACGAAACTCCCCAACTGAATGTTATGCAGGAATTGCACTATCGCATAGTACGAATTCATCAGTTGTTGCTGGCCTCATATTTCCAACTGCAAAGCAAACCCCACTTATCTCGAATGCCAAATTATTTCAGTTTTAGGAAGACAAGAAGCTTTACAGTCCATTCTCTCTCGAGCTGTGCATTTAGATTGGTTTTTATTTACAAAACTCCAAATATAGCAACACGATGATGAAAGTGCCTCGCTAGTTAATAGCTTTGGAAAAGTCCCACAACTTTTACTATTTTCTTTGTTGCCCGATAAAGGCCTTTAAAGTCTACTTGTTCAAAAAATTTCATTTTAGGTGTATCTAAGGCTTTTCATACATTGAAATTCGTATTAATTGCATGAAAAATAATTTCCATTATCAACAAACAAAATAATAATAAATACCTTTACCATGTTTATTCATTTATCAAAAAATTTTCATAATAATATGTTATTGAGTAAATTTTCCTTCGAAAACACAACTAATCCTATGCCGACTGACCTGTCCTTGCAATAATTCCAGACATAAATAAATCACATTTTTGCATATTGCATAGTAACAATAATTTCTTTCCACAATAAACTGATGATAAGGGATATTTGTTAAACATGTGAAGAATTTAAAAAAGAAAAATGGGCTAAAGCAGCCTATAAATAATAACTTAATTGGAAAATAGTTGTCATTAGCCCAAGTGTTTGTGAAAGGTACAACCATATCCCCAACGATAGAAATGAAATCTTTAGCTATTCTCGCTTTGTGTGTTTTATTTGCCACGGCTTTGGTAAGTATTTATTTGGATTTGTTTAGTTGAATATATTTTTTTTTTTAAATTTAAATAATCCACCACGTAGACTATTTAGACTATGTTTTGCATGAACATTTTTAAAATATCTCTTGCTTAATAAGGGTCTAGATTTAGAAGATTAACATCTCTTGGTCATACCATTATCGTTAATATATTATTTCATTATTCTTTTTTTTAACCTAATTGTTCCACTTGTTACCATTGCAAACTCAACGAAAATAGTGTAATTCTTTTTTCATAGTCTGACGAAATTCCAAACAAATTAAGACAAAGACTTAGAACAGCCAGTGAAAAATGTCAATCAATTCCTTCAAAAGCTGTCAATGAAGACGACATGAAGGCTTACAAGTTATCAAGGGGCGAGGGAAGGCGCCCCGAAAATCTAGGACCTCACTCTCTATGCATAACTAAAGAAATGGGATGGCAAAACGAAGATGGAACTATCAACAGAGAACTATTAATGAGAGAAAAAATGAGGAGAGGAGAAACTGAGGAAAAAGCTTCAGAAATGATGAACAGGTGCGCTATGGAAAAAAGTAGCCCAACTGCTACTGCTGAACATTTGATGAAATGTTTGATTTATTAAGTACCAAGTTATACTATTTATACAAATAAATTTTATCTTGTTTTATTTCTCAAAAAGTCGTCTAATTGAAAGAAAAAAAAATAAAAATTTGCTGTAATTTCCATGGAGATGAGACAAACGGCTAATTATTGGTCTCTGATTCTCACCATCTGTTATATCTTCCTTTTTGTTTACCTAGGAGGATGATTGTCCATATACCATTTTGTAAGGATCTTGATTGTTTTCCAAACATAGTTTAAAAGAGCTACTGTAGTTTTTGATAAGTATTTTCCGCTACCTCGGGACTCTTTACCCAATAACGACAAATATCCATCTCTAGTCGCGTCCCCTCTCTGTAGATTTCGGTAGAAGAAAAGAAGACAGCAAGTGCGACAGCGAAAAGATCAATCGCTTAATTATTTTTCAGTTCTTTGAGCGCGTTCCATGATTTTCCATTTGTTATTTCAGATATATTCTGGGAGCCTTGTTTTTTTTTTTAAGTTCTCCTATTTTACCCGAGTCAAGATAGCATTTTGACCTAGACAAAAATAATCTAAAGCTGATTTTTGGTAGAGATCATGCCTGAGGGCTAAATTGCAACACATTAAAAGTCCGGGCCAATCCTCCTTCCGCAACCCCCTTTTTTCGCCCCCTAACCCCCACCTTTTTATTATTTTGATGATTTTCTCGAAAACTATCCACTTTAAGGAAAAATGTCAAGAAAGCTTTTTTGAATCTGATAAAATTTCCCTTGAAGTGACATATTGGGAGCCCATAAAGTGCTACGTCGTACGCACCAGTGGCGTATCAAATGAAGGGTTACTTTTGAGAAATATACTGTTTGCTATTTATTCTCATTTTTTTTAATCTAAGCATTATTTTTTTAGAAGAAACATATTTTTCTCTGAGACGACCATTGAAATTTAGTCTACTTGCGAATCTATAAGAAGTTTATCGCAATCACTTCAGCCAAAAAAAAAATTAGAAGTTTATCCGAGACTTCTCAGCTATCAACTTGCCAAATAACAGGTGCGCCTAACGCCTTGCGCGACGTTGTGGTAGGTAAGGTTCATTTCACGAAAGGTTGTACTCACGACATCGATATGTCATAGCTTGGAAAAAAAGGTTTGTCGTAGATTGATCCATATAAATTCAATAGCGTTCCGATTTTGTATGACTTCTGATTTAAAAACCGACGAACGTTTTTGACGTCATCAGTGTGTTTCAGTCAATTTTTATTTGTTAAATTAGGAAGGCAAAGGAACAAATCCTCGTGAAACAAACAGTATCTTTTTTATCTTGACTGCGATTGTGCAACAGAGTCCAATGGGAAGCGAGTTTGTGTTTGTCACGTGTTTGCGTCATATTTACATTCAGGGTTGGGACTCTGTAACGCATAGGGACATTTTCTCTATTTCTATTGACGTCTCCTGTCTATACATTGATTTCTCTAGAAAATATGGTTCTGTTATTATCAGATAGTCATAGTAGCCATAAAAACCTTGAAGCCTTGCATTACGCAAAACAAAACGGAATGTTGATATTGTCACAACCCGTATACGTTTCGTCCTGGGACCTTGCAATCAAGGTAACATTGATAAAGACCCAACTAATGGAGAAGAAAATATGGTTCAATTGGAAAGTTCTTTGTCTTTGCCACCCTTCTACTACACAAAATATTACCAAATTGCCAGTTCTCAATGAATCAGCTCTTAATATATCGGTAAAAGATATTTGTCCTCCGCCTTCAGTCGCTGATATTTAGTCAATGCAAAGGAGGGGTAGAAAACGGGCGAAAACTGGCACGTTGAATTCTACACCAGAACTTGACGATCTCAAAGAAATAGCGCGTCAAAAGGTAATGAAATTACGAAAACCCAAAGCAAGAACAGCGAAACGATAAGTTTTCCTATGCAATAAAGATTTTGCAAGTAACGACAGCGATGAAGAAAATCAAGCGGCTCATGAAACATATCTGGAGCAAGACAATTCGGACGATGCCGCATGCCTTTATTGTAATGAGCTTTTCTCACAATCAAGATTAAGGGAAAAGTGGATTCGGTGTCAAGTCTGTAACTCTTGCCACAATGATTGTGCGGGAGTAAGCCCTACATGCAAGTTATTCGTTTGTAAACTGTGTGAATAAATGCCTATGCAGTAGACTTGTTATTCTGTTTGTATTGTCGACTTTTTGGTTTTAATATTTATTTATTTTTCAAAGAATTATGTACCATTTATTTTACTTTAGACTTTATTTTGAGGTTTTTTTTAAAGAATCGATCTTCAATCTTTTGGCATAATAGTTATTTATGTATCAAGGGTACTAAGTAGATGATTATGCCCTGAGGGCGACAGTCTTACAAAGCCGAGGGCCTCTGGCCCGAGGGGTCGTAAGTCGCCCGAGGGTATATTATCTATTAGTACCCGTGGTGCATACAAACTTTTATGTCATACCAGTTGGTTGTGAATAATAAATACCTAGGAAAAAGTGTCACTTCGCAAATTGTCATCAGTGTGCAAACATCATAATTTTTTGACAAAAATAATATGTTTATAAGCGTAAATTTATATTTTGTTAATAAAGAATAAGTTAATTGAAAACTGTTTTTTGCGTCTTTATGCCCGCGCGGGCCATAATGTGTACTTTATGCCCGCGCGGGCCATAATGTGTACTTTATGCCCGCGCGGGCCATAATGTGTACTTTATGCCCGCACGGGCATAAAGTAATGAATTATGTAGATGGTATCCAAGGTATAAAAACACAATAATGTATTGGTATGGCATAAAAAAATTTTGATCAAAATATTAGAATCAAAATATTTTGTTATGTATTATTTTTTCTAAATATTCTAATTGGTCCGACATAGGAACACTCCGGGGTCCATCAAAGAAATGTGTGCTCCTATGATGGATCCCCGAACTAATTTTAAAAAAATACTGTCAAAATTTAATTTGTCAATCTAATCAAAAATACAATGCAGGTTTTAAAAGCCCTTATCAAGACCCGTAAAATAAACTGAAGTAACCTACAAAATATTCATAAATATAAAAATTCTAAGGCATTATTCTTAAGGGGGCCATCATCGGCATACTTCCCCTAGTGTAGTCAATAATCGATTCTTCGTCAAGTTTTAATAGTTCACGTGTATTTCTTTATGCTGCAAGAATCCATTTAGAATTTTTAGGGTATATTTTGTTTATTTCCATCCATTGTTAATCGTTACATTCTCTTCAAATTATCATACTACTTACCTCGTCGTTGCTGTTCCTATTCACTATTTACCTACTTTTTTGATTTTGATCACTGACTTGTTGACAGAATGAATCTTTTATGCTGACGGGTTAATCGCCATTCGCGTAATATATTTCTAAAATTGTTTTTTCTTTCTGTGAAACATACCCACATAACAATGAAAGAACATTCATATTCTCAGAATATTCCCTCAAAGTGCTTTTTGGAATGTTCTTTTAGGAATGTTTAATGAATATTCTAAGATGGTTTCGATTAAAATGTTCATTTTTAAACGTTCGATTTATGTACTAGGAATGTTGCTTATTCTATGCACCTACCTGAAAGATTGTGCTAAGAACCTACTTATATAGCATTATCTGAATATTGTCATAAGAACATTATTATAATGTACCCTAAAAAATGTTCTTTCGGCTAATATCTCTATCAAGTATCAAGAATATACCTACCAAGTTGTGCTGAGAAGTTTATGTAGGTAGGTACCCATGATAAGAATATTTCCATATTGTTCACCTAATTATCTAAAGTAGGTACCTACTCAAAAATCTTGATTGAACAATTAAACAATAATGCTCTATCTAGAACCTACTAAGAATATTATTGGTATATTCTTTTTCTTTTGCTTTGTAGGACTTCCAAGAGAGGGAGCCACGTGCTATTAATGATCTACATCTTGCCTTGCGTTTGAATCACGTTGGAACCTGTTTCTCTCAGTTGGCGTGCTTACCGCGACAAGAGCATAATAAGCTCGAAACCGGAGCTTTGGTTAAACACTTGTGTTTTCCAGAGAAATTTTCCAACAACTCTTTCACTGCCTTAAATATAAAAGGACTGAAAGGAGCATTATTGGGTTGGATGCGAAAATTAACATTCCAATTCCAAGTATATCCCTAGAATCAAACAAGAATGTTATGTCTAGGATGCATATTGAGAATGATATATGTAGATATATTCTAAGAATATTTCAAGCATATTGGTATAATATTCTTTTGAGAACCTAACTATAATGTCATAGAAACATTCTTTGAATGTGAGAATATACATTTTAAGCATATGTTTAGAATCAAACAGGAATATTTTTTTCAGGATGTACTGAGAATCTCATAAGTATATTCTAGGAATATCCTAATGGATTTCCCAGGAAGTTATTGGGTATTGCAAACAGTATTTCTACAATCTTTTCTCAGAACATTCTCAGGACATTCGCAATGGTTTTGGCGAATATTCGAGGCACATTCCTCCCAAAAAAAGAACATTCTCAGTACATTCTAAGGATGCAATTTTGTTATGTGGGTACATACCTATATTATTTTTTTTTATTTTTTTACGTATGTACTGCTTCTCATGATGTTATATTTATGTTTACTCCATTTTCTATATATAACAATCAAGACTACTTTCTTTGCTATAAATTCTTTTTGAGCTCTGCTGGAGAAATGAGTCCTGGCGTTTCTTGTTGGTCTCTAGGGAGACAATCAGCTCAATTTTTTGATGATTGATCTCTGATGTTACTCAACTTAGCTTCCTAGAAATTCATTGAAGTTCCTTCACTCCAGCATCATTTGCAACATATTTGCCGCAAAAAACTCCGCGTGCTCCCTCTCCTGAAAAGCAGTCACCCAAAGGAACTTAGGGTTATGCTCTCAATAGGTGAGGCGGTAAACGCTATTCGGACAATAACAGCCAGATGAAGTCAATCAAAA